TATTCTCAAATCAAAACCTTGCATGTAGTGGTGAGGGTCAAGGGTTCGAATGCTGGTGTGCGCGAGCTTTTCGTTCAATGTGAGTTCTTCTCTCGCTTCCGATGCTGGCCTGGGTAGGAAGCGCTAGATCGTGTGTACGCGGAGGGAAAGACACTGCTGTACTGCACTCTTCTCGCATCAAACATCGAAAGTAAAGTACCGCAGGAGGGGTGGGAGGGGGGCCTCAGGAAGAGGAACCCGCCTGTTTGACCATGGGTTGCAGTGCCGTGAGCGACTTCCACGGAATTTAAATATTTTGTCTCGATCCTGCGGCAGCGAACACCAGCAGCGGAGAAGATATTTCCCAATTGATGAGCCGAGGGCTTGCCATATGTGCGGACATTGCAGTCCGCTGGGTTGTTTGGGCTAGGTTATAGGGACAATTCGGGGTGCATGGTTTCCCAGATGATGAACCTACCCTTTACCACCGTTGCAGACAAAGCAGTCGGGTTAGGGTTTGGCGTAGTGTCCATTCGGGGTGGGGTACATATCTGCTTTGTCAGTTGTTTGTCTAGGTGGATGTGTTGTGTGATTCATGCTTGGTTGGTAGCTGGTGCTCTGCTTATCAGGACGATAGTTGGATTCTAGATCGTCCGCCCGTGACGTGAACTTCAAGCATTTCGATGGAAGTCCTTGCACTGGCTTTCACGGATGTTGCCGAGTTTTCATGTCAGTTGCCTATTGGAATCGAGAGGAGCGCTTCCGTGGAACTCGCTTCGATGGAAGTTACTGGACTGTCCGATGGTTGCAACATTTCCATGGAAGCTACTTTCGTGGATGTGAATGTTCTTCCACGGAGGCATTACCGGTCAGTTTTGTAATTGGATCGATGGACGCGTTTTCATGAAATTGAAAGTCTTTCCATGGAAAGTCTTACCATCGAAGCGTGTGCATACTACGCTTAGCCGCTGGTATTATTAGTCTATATTGATTGTCAAATTGTATACTAAGTATAATGTAGGAAATGTTCCAGATTTCGAGAAACTCGTCTCTCCTTGAATGTCGTAATTCGTAGATCTCCTCAGTGCCACACCGCACCGACACGCAAACCATGCTTTGTCTGTGTGTGTACATACGTGGGAAGGATCTGAGGACGGTTCTATGTTCCGTAGTTGAAGGAACATACGATGGTACCCTTTGTGGTAGACTCTCGATGAGGCAGCGATGCCCCCATGCTGCGTCAGCCTGCGTGGAGCACTCTCTTTCTCCCCTGCCTATAACGTGCGTTAGTCCTACGGATCTAACTCAAGCCATCAACGAGACTTTCTATTTGTTGTTGTTGTTGTTGCCTTCACATTAAACCGTATGTCAGTTGCGAAATGCCAAAATCTAGCAAAGACTCTCAGCCCGTGGTCACGAAAGTGCTAGAGCCATCTGAGGATCTAAAGAACACGCACACATGTAACGAGAAAAAGGTATCAAGAGCCCGAAGAGGTACACCTAAGAATCCCTGCAGCACCGTATGCGTGCCCAAAAACTGAACTGCACGTCCGTCCCACCGTTCGACTACAGTAGCATCACCCCCTCGCTGTCCCACTCTATACCAAAACGGAAGATTGCCGACTACAGCATCTTGCTGTCTGAAGTGCTGTCTGTACAAAAACACCATGGTAGGCATGGAACAAGAAGCTGGCGGGGCACAAAGCTGCTGTCTGAAGTGCTGTCAGAATGTGTCTGCGGCCGTACAGTGAAAAAAAACAACCAGCCAAAGCCATCACAGCAGCAATTCGCAATCACCCGAATCTCTCCCGATCGTCTGGGTTCGGCACTGCAGTGAAAAATATCGACACTAGCTAAGAATCGTTCCACATTGAAGGGGTCTTCCACGATCAGGCACAAAACCAATGCAACCGGGTTAGCCACGCCATCTCTGACGAGTCTCTCTACAAAACCGGCGACGATGTCATCACACAAAACCGACACGGAAAGTCAGAAAAAAAACGAAAAAAATTGACAACACAGATAGAAATGTTTGTCCGTGCGCCACGGGTCGATGTCGCCCGCATGCTCCGGTGCCACTGCTCCATCCGGCGCCGCTGTAGTCAGCCCAGGCAAAACGCCACTCGACCTGCTCCGTTCGTGCACGCTCTCGTTGCTGTCCTTCCCTGTCCGTTCCTCGCTTTCTCCCTCATTGCACTCAAGGTTCTTGGTCTGAAAAAAATAAAAATTCTCGCGCCGAATGGTCAACCAGCCCAGTTCAGCTCGTCGCCACCTGCTCCCTCCTCCTTTAAAGGCGAAGCCAGGTTACTGAGGCAATACAGCTCCCTCTAGCAAACCTAGGGCCGAGTAGTGCCCGTCCACCTAAGTGACTGGACACAAATACGGGCAAACCCGCCACAAGACTCCGGCTCAAGGAGTTGTCAACATGCTTCACTGCCTCACCCCCATCGAGTGCCTGCGGAAGGGTCCGGAGTCTACAGCGTACTCCCGAATACCTGTGTGCTGTGTAGGTACAAAGTAGGTAACAGACAGACAGCTAACTCCCGAAACACCAGTGCGACAAAGGGGCGAGCGCTGTTATTGTCGGTCATCATGCGCCAGGACCGCCTGTCGTTTCCCCTCAGGCCGTACTCTTCATGTTAACGAGAGAATGGACACAGGAAAGGACTCAGCTTCCAATCCTGCGTAGTTCACGGAAAGCTACTGGGACAATGTCGCCTGCCCTGTCTCTCTCTGTCGCGCTGTCTACCTTGGTCGTTCGCTGGGCTGCTGTCCGTCGCACGGTACGATGCGATCGCGAAAATGCGGATGACACGATGGTGATAACTTCGTGGGAGAGACGCCACTAAACACGTAGGTAGACTATAGGGTTAGGGTTCTTCCGGGGAGAAGCGCAGCTTTGCTGCGAAGGGCCCAGAGGAAGCCCACAAGCTCACCGTCCACGTGTGCCGGCGCTCTATTCGAGGATCAGGAACAGGTCGAAGGCTTCTTCTTCTGGAGCGACCTCGGCGTGCCCCAGCGGGTGGGCCTCCTCCACCCGGACTCGTGGTGTTGACTTGGTACACATGCAAACAGGGCGGACTCGGATTTTCGGGGACGTGCAGTTCCCGCGGGGGCGAGGGCGAGTCTACAGCAGCGAGCGTACGCGTCCAGTCGAATTTCGCGCGACCACGGAGCTTGATGGCTACCATGCGTGGGCAATCGCACAACCACCCTCGATTGCGGTCGACTCTTTCTCCGACTGACAAGCTTGCGGTAGACAGGCTACCCCTTCGAAGGCAAGCGTGGCGAATCCCACCGCCAGAGTGGCCCGGGGAACCTGCCGAAAGTCCCCCTTCGAGGAACCTGCCGTCGTCTCCACGGATGTGGTCTTTGCGGGGAGATATCTGCGGGAGCGGAAGACGCGAGGAGCTGGCGAGGGGACGGGCACACGTAGGACGGCGAGCAAACGAAGTTAAAACATTGTGGTGCGCGTCGTTGAAGGGTTGCCGCATGGGCTCATTGTACGACCAGATGTTAGGAAAGGCTTAAAAATTACGCTTGGAAACACGCCGGCAGTATGTTTTTGGCACTGTCCCACCAGCGTCTTGGGTGCCGTTAACCTCATCCACACCTGGCAGCCAGTTCCCTCGGCAGAGCAGGGACTCGAGGGTCGCCGTTGAACAGCACCGGGAGCGACATTGATCACAACATCCGTATCGGTGGAATCTCGCTGATGGGAGGGTTGCCGTCTTGGAGCGCCTCTTTCGCTACTCGAAACTTGCTTGGTGCTCTCAAATGAGGTTTCGAGGACACGTCAAGAGGAACAGGAACAACAACCTCCAAACCGTCCTTCACCTTTTTCAGGTCAAATCTCTGCCGATCCCGGGCGGCGGCAGCAGCGATATCGCCGACAGATCTGGCCCGCTACCCACAGCTAGTCCCTTCCTGCCCTGTCAGCACTTGGTTGAAGTGTCCATCGACGCCGAAGTTAGAGAGCAACGCCATTGTCAAAAGATTTTCGAGAAGGTGACAAAAAATGAGCGATAGAGACAGGAAGATCGCGACAACTCGTGGTAGCTCTGTATGCGCTTACGCCGTATAATGGATCGTTGGCTTTATGCATGGGTTGCGTCGGTATCTCACACGGGACAGAAACATTTTCAAAACCAAACCACCCCTGAAATGAACATGATGCCGTTGGTGGCTGTCACGCTGACCGTGAGATTCGATAATTTCCGGTATTATTGAAGAAGCAAAAACGAGCGATGAAGACAGGAAGACAAATAGAAGGCAAACCGATAAAGGGGACGGAAGCCGCGCGCATGGTCGCACACTTTTGGCGCCACGCGCAACATGCTCACTTGTCGACTCACCGAAAATGCGCTTGGGTCATATCATGGTTATTTGCACTTTGTCGGGTTGGAGACTCACTCGGCCCACACACATTTATTTACTAAACAACCGCCTGAAATGAACGTTTTGCGGTTGAGGGAATACCAAGCGGGCTTTGAGTGTCGATTTTGGCCGACATTGGTGTTCGAAAAGTCAAAAAGAGCGACCAAGGCAGGGAAACAAGACGACCCGATCAAGAAGACCGAAACAGCGTACATTGTCGCACACTTATGTACAACATGTCGCGAGACGTGCGCCATAGGTCGGGATCGGCCTTTGAGACAC